TTTCTTCTTTTTATTAACGACATTGCTAACATAAACATCAGTGGCAAAATATGTCTTTTTGCGGACGACACTAGCTTCACTTGGAGCAACAAGGACATCGCGGCACTTCATAGGATTATATCAAATGACTTAATCACCATTAAATCTTGGTGCGATTCGAACCTCCTGAGTCTCAACATTTCTAAAACTAAGGCTTTGTCGTATAAAAACTCGTTGCAGCCTTTTGTACTTGACAACACCACCATTGACGTCGTAAAATCCGTAAAATTCTTAGGGCTTGTTGTGGACAATTCTCTGAAATGGGACATACATATCGAAGCTTTGTCGAAAAAATTGAGCTCTGCCTGTTTTGCATTAAGGTCTGTTTCTAAGGAGCTTAACTTGTCAGTGGCTAGAACTGTTTATTATGCACTTTTTGAGTCGCACCTCAGGTATGCCCTTCCATTCTGGGGTACGTGTTGTGCGGCTCAATTTGACCGCATTTTCAAGCTCCAGAAGAGAGCTGTTCGATATTCACTGGGACTAACAGCAGAACTCATTGCCGGGGCTTTTTTAGAGAATTAAAAATATTGACTCTTCCTTCCTTATTTATATTTGAATCCGTTTGCCTAATACGTAAACATGTACCAGCTTCTCAAGAAAGGCCATCTCACACTTATCCACTCAGGAACGCGGAGCAAGATCTTTATCTACCTACCCCACGCTCAGAGTTAGTTAAAAGTTCAATATTATACAACTCGAAAAAAATGCACAATCACCTGCCATTTGAAATCAAATCCATAACATCATTTTTATCATTGAACTCTTATTTACTAGACAAGGCTTTCTACGCCGTAAATGAATTATATTTGAATTGAAAATCGAATTTGATCTTGAAAACACTGGTCTAATGTTTGCTATTGCTATATTTACGAATGACATCGAAATTAATTTATTTAGAGGTCATTGATATTTTGCTATAAATTGGCTAAATATTTTTGAATATTATTTTAATTTTTTTTGTTCTTTGACATTGTAAACATTTATATATGTTTATTTTAACAATAAGACTGACAATATTATTTGTATAATGTTTTGTATTATCTTTTGTTTGTTTGTTTGTGTACCTTGTTTTTTTTTTACTATGTTTGTTAGTTTACCTTTGTCCACAAATTGAAAAATTTTTTGACAATAAAGGCATTTATTTATTTATTTATTTATTTATTTATTTATCTCAATATATGATTGCCGTGCAAAATCCTTCTCACAACGCTTATTCTTATTATCTGCCTCATCATTGCGTAATCCGACCAGATAGTCTCACGACCAAACTTAGAATTGTCTTTGATGCTTCCGCTCGAGATTACACAAATAAATCTTTGAATGACACTCTCTTAACTGGGCCAAAATTACAGTCAGATATTTTATCTATTTTGCTTCGATTTAGATCGCTTTTTATTGTATTTGCTAGCGATATTAAACAAATGTTTAGTCAAATTCTTGTTAATGAAAATCATACTTAATACCTAAAATTTTTATGGCGATTTTACCCTAATGAGCCCATTCAAGAATACAAACTTACTCGTGTTACTTTTGGTTTAAGCTGTAGCCCATTTTTAGCCATTCGAGTTATAAAACAAATTGCTTTAGAAAATTTAGTAAAATATCCCGAAGCATCAAAGATTTTAGATATGGAGACGTATGTCGATGATATTATATCTGGTTGCGATTCTCTTTCTCTTGCTATAAAAATTCAACGCGATCTCATTTTTATACTCAAACACAGCGGTTTTGAACTTAGAAAATGGACTTAGAATAGCTCAGATTTTCTTTCTCAGTTATCTCCAAATGAATGCAAAATGGATTCTTCTCTCTCTTTAAATATAAATTCTCTTTCTTCCTCTAAAGTTCTAGGACTAAACTGGAATCCCTCTACAGATGAATTTTTCTTTGATTCACCAGAGTTGTCCTTGACAAACAAAATCTGTAACAAACGCAATATTCTTTCACAACTCGCAAGCATATTCGATCCATTCTGTGGCATGTGAGTTCCTCTCACTCTTCACCTAAAACTGATTATACAAGATTTGTGGAAGTTAGGTATACATTGGGATGATCTGCTCCCAATAACATTGCTACTTCTTGGTATCAACTCGTTCAAGAATTACCTTGCATTTTCTCTCTCAAAGTTACTCGATATTTTCTCACTCTCAAATATTTATCCCTGGAAGTACATGGTTTTTGTGATGCCAGTGAAAAAGGCTATTGTGCAGTAATTTATTTCAGGATAATTCTTCCAGATAACTCTGTAAAAACAAATTATGTCTGCGCTAAAGGCAAAGTAGCTCCACTCAAAAAAATCTCAATTCCAAGACTGGAACTCTGTGCAGCCTTACTTCTGACCAGGTTAATTGATTTCGTTAGAACTTCTCTTACTAATAAACTTATTAATGTTAGTACGATTATATGGTCCTACTCGATGGTTGTTTTACATTGGCTTAGAAGTGAACCATATAAGTGGAACACCTTTGTGAGCAATCGAGTTTCCCAAATTCAAGAGAAATTACCTCCTTCTTGTTGGCGTCATGTAGTCTCCAAAGACAACCCCGCTGATCCAGGTTCTCGTGGTCTTCAACCTAGCGAGTTACTCGACAATGCCTTATGGTGGGCGGGACCTCCATGGCTAAGCCAACCGGAATCTTATTGGCCGCAATCAATTTTTACTTTCCCTGAAACTGAAGAAGAACAACGAAAAGTTATATTGACATGTACTTCACAGCCCTCATTGTTTGATACTCTCTTTGAAAAGTTCTCTTCTTTCTCTAAAATTATAAATATTGTCACGTTTTGCAGACGCTTTCTCTATAATACTCGACATTCTAAATCTCGTAAAACCTCTCCTCTCTCGAAATTTGAAATAAATGAAACTCTAGAATGTATTATTAAATGTGTTCAATCACAATATTATGCTAGGGAAATTCTCTTAATAAATAATTGCAAATCTCTACCTAAATACTTAAGAAAATTGACCCCCTTTATCGACACCAATGGAATTCTTAGAGTTGGTGGTCGCTTGCGCAATGCTTCTCTAAATTTCTCTCAAAAACATCCCGCACTCTTACCCAATAATCATAAATTTACTACTCTACTCATAGAATATACTCATAAACTCTATTTGCATCCCGGTCCCCAAACTCTTCACTATATTCTCGCTCAACAATACTGGATTGTTTCTGCTAGAAAAACAATTCGTAGTGTTCTCTTTAAATGTCCTCAATGCTTTCGCGCTAATCCAGTAATGCCTCAGCCTCCTATTATGGGAGATATTCCTGCTGTAAGACTTTCTCAAGTAAAACCTTTCTCTGAAGTTGGATGCGACTATGGTGGTCCATTCTCTTTATTAAGATATCGTGCACGAGGTGCTAAGTCCTGTAAAGCCTATATTTGCTTATTTGTGTGCATGGCCACGAAAGCTTGCACTTAGAACTGGTTTCCGACCTTTCCTCCGAGACTTTTCTGGGTGCAATGCGTCGATTCATTTCTCGTAGAGGTCGCTGCAATCATATTTATTCCGATTGTGGAACGAACTTTGTCGGAGCTTCTAGAGAACTGATTAATATGCTAAAATCCGCCGCTGAGCAAGAACAAATTTCCTGGCACTTCAATCCTCCAAGCGCGCCTCATTTTGGTGGCCTGTGGGAAGCAAGAATAAAGTCTGTAAAAACTCACATTAAAAGGGTCATTGGTGACCAATTGCTCACGTATGAGGAATTTTATACGCTACTGGTTCAAATAGAAGCAGTGCTTAATTCTCGTCCATTGTGTCCACAAAGCTCTGATCCTAATGATTTGTCAGTTCTTACTCCAGGACATTTTTTAACCCTAGAGCCGTTAAACGCCCCTCCGAAAGATGATCTTTCCGGGATAAAATTAAATCATCTCTCTCGCTGGCAGTTGATATCACGCTTGCACCAAAGCTTTTGGAGCCGATGGTCTAAAGAATACCTTCAAACACTTTTACAAAGAGCTAAATGGAATGACTCTACTATTCCAATAGAAATAAACTCGGTTGTTTTAATAAAGGATGATAATCTTATTCCGCTCAAATGGAGCATTGGAAGAGTCTTAGAGATTCACCCGGGCCATGATCGTGTTACACGCGTGGTTACTTTAAAAACAGCAAAAGGCATTCTTAAAAGACCAGTGACAAAGATATGCCCACTGCCTTACTGCAAATCTCATAATTAAAATTTACTCTCTAAAAAAAAACATAATCGCAAAAAAAAACATAATCGCAAAAAAAACATAATCTCATTATAAACATAATTCACATCTCTTATTTAATTACTTTTTTCTACTCTATAACAAATGTAAAAAAAAACTCTCTTAATATTTAATTAAATTACACTCATGCATTAACCCCAATAATGCATTTTTCTAAATTTCCTCTAAATTTAACTCCATAAATTTCACTCTTACTTTCTTTTAAACATAACGCATTTTTTCACTTTTTTTGTTTATTTTACTTTACTATTCTCAAACGAAAATGGAAAATATTTCATTTTGGTGGGCGGTATGTTGGATTCTATCCCTTCCTCCCATCCTTTACCCGAAAAACCTTAGTGTATAATATGGTATTATATTTATATTCAAAGTATTATATAGCGGGCAACCCACGATACACCTGTATGTATAGTTGCCTAACCTCGTAGCTTAGAAATTTAATAAATTTTGTTATGTTATACTGTCAATGCCGGAAATGACGACATTAGACAGTTCACAGTAAATTGTAAGTTATAAACTTGTAACACATGGCTTGTTTAATAATTAATAAAACGTAATTATTAAAATCAAATGTTTAGTTTATTGTTATAATCTCTTACGAGTTATACATGGTGTCAGGTTGCTAGTGAACCTATGTATCGCATCGAGTGTGTGAAAAATAGTAATTTTTCGACTGGTTTTTTCTGTTGAGCTCATTGCTTGTTGTATGTGCCGCTTGTAAACAGAAAATTTAAGAAATGGATAACTATTTTAAACCTCCAGAGCCGCTCTTGCTAGACGGGAATATCTCAGAGAGCTGGAAGAGATTTTCTCAAAAGTTTGACTTGTTTTCAAAGGCCACCGGACTAGATACCAAGGAAGAAGGAAAACAAATTGCTTGCTTTTTGTCCTTAATTGGTGACGATGGTCTAGACTTATTTAATAGTTTTTCGTTTGAGGCAGGTAAAGATAAGATTTTGGCAGAAATAAAAAAGAAGTTTGAAGATCATTGTGCTCCGCAGAAAAATGTAATTTTTGAACGGGCAAAATTTAATACGATTGTACAAAAAGAAGGTCAATCTTTCGATAGCTTCTTGACCGAGCTAAGAAAGGCAGTAAAAACCACGGAATATCCTAATCAAGATGAGATGGTTAGAGATAGAATAGTTATTGGTTTAAGAGAGACAGTCAGTAAAGAAAAACTGATGAGAGAACCGTCTTTGACTCTGACGAAGGCAATAAATTTTTGTAGAGCCACAGAAACTAGTAAAGACCAAGTGAAGACATTAGATAATGAATCAAGACTAGATGCTGTAAGAGCTAGTACATCCAGAATCGAGTCCAGAACTTTTAATAAACCAGTCTGTGATAAAGACCCAAATAAGCCTTGCAAGAGTTGTGGTTATAAACATAAGTTTGGAAATAAGTGCCCTGCTGCTGGAAAAACCTGTGCAAAATGCCAAGGTCGTGACCATTTTGCCAAGGTGTGTCCAAATAAAAGTGAAAGAAATGACAGTCATAGAAATAAAGTCTATAAGAAGAAAGTTAATTGTGTAGACAAAGAGTCAAGTTCTGAGTCAACTGAAGGAAGTGACCATGAGTTTTACATAAGTGCAATCAACTCAAGTGGCAGAAGTAAAAGTAACACAGAAACTATGTGGACAAAGGAAATATGGATCAAGGGTAAGCCTATAACATTCAAGCTAGACACGGGAGCAGAGGTAAGCACACTACCTTTAAATGTTTTAAAGAAAATTGCCCCAAGATTGCCTATACGCAAGACAAATGTTACATTGATGTCTTACGGTGACCCAAATTTTAAACTACAATGTTTTGGTGAAGTAGTGCTAGAGTGCAAAGTGAAAGAGTGTGTAGAAAAAGTTCCTTTTGTTGTAGTTAGTGCCCAAAGTAAAATTCCTCTGTTAGGGTTGCAAGAATGTTTAAAATTAAAACTGATTAAACGAGTAGACTCTTTAAATAAACCAAGTGTTTTTAAAACGTTAGATGATGTAGTTAGTCAATATGCAAATGTTTTTGAAGGGTTAGGAAAATTTCCTACACAACATCATATAACATTAAAACAAAATGCAAAACCAAAAATAAATGCTATTAGGAGAGTGCCTAATATTTTACTAGAACCTCTGAAAAAAAAGTTATATGATCTTGTGTCCAAGGATATCATTGAAAAAGTAGATAAACCTACAGAGTGGGTACACCCTCTGGTTATTGTTGAAAAACCAAACGGTGACCTTCGTCTCTGTTTAGATCCAAAAGATCTGAACCAAGCTATACAACGAGAACACTTCCTCATTCCATCATGTGATGATATTGCTGTTAAACTGACAAACAAAAAATTTTTTACTGTCCTAGACATGAAGGATGGGTACTGGCAAGTTGAGTTGGATAGCCCAAGTGCAGATCTTATGACTTTTGGTACACCATTTGGTCGTTTTAGATTTAAGAGACTAGCGTTCGGTATATGTTCAGCCCCTGAGGTTTTTCAAAAGAAAAATTTTGAAATATTTGGAGATATACCTGGAGTAGGACTGTATTTTGACGATTTGATTGTTACAGGTGCCACCGAGGCTGAACATGACCAGAACCTGAGATGTGTATTAGAAAAGGCTACTAAACATAACCTTAAATTTAACAAAGAAAAAATTCAGTTCAAAAAAGAAAGTGTTAGTTTATGGGCCAAATCTTTTCACATAAAGGTGTTGAAACTAATAAAAAATATGTAGAAGCCATTTTAAAAATGCCTGTGCCTGAGTGTAAGGCAGATGTTTTAAGATTTTTAGGCATGGTCAAATACATAGGCAAGTTTATACCAAATCTTTCTAAAATAACTGCACCCTTAAGAAATTTAACAAGAAATGATATTGAGTTTGAGTGGACTGAAGAATGCAAAAATTCTTTTAATAATTTACTACATTTATTAACCAATTCCCCTGTTTTGACATATTTTAACTCAAAAATCCCCATTGAAATAGAGACAGACGCCTCTAAAGATGGGTTGGGAGCTTGTCTTTTACAAGAAGGCAAGCCAGTAGCCTTTGCATCGCGCAGTTTAACCAAAACTGAGCAAGCATATGCACAGATAGAAAAAGAAGCATTGGCTATTGTATTTGCTGTAAAAAAGTTTCATTACTTTATTTATGGTATGCCTACTAAAATTTACAGCGACCACAAACCTTTGGAATCAATTTTCAAAAAAGAATTACAGTCTGCTTCCCCAAGAATCTTAAGAATGAGACTTAAGCTTTTAAAATATAATTTACATATTTGCTATAGACCAGGGAAATACATGTATATTTCAGACACTCTTTCTCGAGCATTCCTTAAGAAAAAAACTGAAAAACCAGAAAATGAATTAGATTTTGCAGTGCATACTCTAACGAAATCCTTACCTATGTCCTTGAATCGAATTGAACAGTATACTATTGAAACAATGAAAGACCCACAGTTTAGTACTGTAATAAATTTTGTTAATAATGGTTGGCCTGTTCAAAAATACAAAATTCCAGAAAATGTTAGGAATTTTTACAAATTGAAGGAAAAATTGTTTGTATCTGACAATCTGTTATTTTTGGAAAATAAGTTAGTTGTCCCTTTAAATCTAAGATCAGAATTAATTAAACTTTTACATGAAGGCCACCTAGGAATTGAAAAGACAAAATCGCACGCCAGAAAAGCATTTTATTGGCCTGGTATTACAGTAGATATTGAATCGTATGTGAAAAACTGTAAAATTTGTGAAAAATTTTCTAGAAAAAATCCTAAGCAAACACTTTTGCAATACCCAATACCTGAAAGGCCATGGGAACGTGTTGGTTCGGATATTTTCACATATGCTGATCAAAGTTATTGTGTTTTGTTCGATGCTTATTCAAACTGGCTTGAGATTTTGCCTATAAGAAATAAAAGTGCTGAGGCTATTATTGCTCAAATGAAACCTGTTTTTGCCAGGTTTGCAGCCCCTGATATTCTTGTCACTGATAATGTACCTTATAATAGTGTAAAATTCTTAGAATTTGCTAAGAATTGGAACTTTACTCTTGTCACTCGAAGCCCAGAATATCCACAATCAAATGGATTGGCTGAAAAAGCTGTAGCAATCGCAAAAAACCTTCTTAAAAAATCATTGGAGGAAGGAATAGGTGATTTATGTTCTGCTCTATTAAATTATAGGAATTGTGCATTAAAAGGGATGGGCTATTCACCATCATAGCTGTTAAATAGCAGAAATTGTAAGACTAAAGTTCCAATTGCATGTGATTTATTACAGCCTATGTTGTGTGTAAATGTAAAAGAAAAAATACTTGCTAAACGTAAAATTAATGAACAACACTATAATAAAAATGCTAAAAGTCTAAAACCACTTAACAAGGGCTGCAATGTTACTGTATTAAATCACAGAAATAATGTTTGGGAACCGGCAAAGATTGAAAAGTTACATGATAGTCCTAGATCATATGTATTACAAGACTGTAGAGGCAACACTGTCAGAAGAAACCGCATTGATATTAAACTATCAGAAAACCCTTTTAAGTTAACTGATAATTCATTTGAGTCTGAAACTGATAATTCTAATTCTACTGACAGTGATGTTACCCCTTTAACTATACCTAAAAATAGTCATTCTGAGCTAGATGATTCTAAGTATAAGACACCAGAAATGCATGCCCCCTTGCTAAAATTGGAATCACCATTATTGACTAATAATACAAGAGTTCAAACCTCTAGATATGGACGTGTAGTTAAAAAACCAAAAAAATTAAACTTGTAAGGGGAGATGTATAATATGGTATTATATTTATATTCAAAGTATTATATAGTGGGCAACCCACGATACACCTGTATGTATAGTTGCCTAACCTCGTAGCTTAGAAATTTAATAAATTTTGTTATGTTATACTGTCAATGCCGGAAATGACGACATTAGACAGTTCACAGTAAATTGTAAGTTATAAACTTGTAACACATGGCTTGTTTAATAATTAATAAAACGTAATTATTAAAATCAAATGTTTAGTTTATTGTTATAATCTCTTACGAGTTATACACTTAGTGGGTATGTAGCCGTAGTCGAGTAGGCAGAGTGCAAGATCGGCCGAGTACACAGTGTACACCTCCAAGCGCGCGCTATCCTCAAGTGTTTTATAAGCAAAAAATCAACAAGTACGAGTCCAGAACGGGAATAAAGGTGAGTGCCCACAGTCCTGATACATTAACTCACCCTAATGAACTGAGCCCCTTAATTCTCGCCCGTAACAGAACTAATTAAAAATAAAATAATCGAGAAGGTACAGGGTGGGTCAAATTCGACGCTTTTAAATGGAGACACCCTTTTCTATAGGAGATAGACAAAAACTAATATCCGTGTCTGGAGCTCAATTTTTGTAAAAAACATGATGGTGAAAACCGCATATCGATATCTGTTACCGTTTCGGAGTTACGGGGTGTTTTTCAAAAATATGCATTTTTAACAAATCGCTGTAACTTTTTTGCTATGGAAAATTTTGTATTTCTATGAAAACATTTCCAAAGCACTTTTTTACGTAGAATTTAATGGTTTAAGTATAATTTTTTTAAAATTAATAATTTGAGAATTATCAACAGAAAATTTGATTTTTTATATGGGACACCCTGTATATTTTTAATTTATTACAATTAATTTTAGAATAAATCGTTATTTTCAAGATTCTAACCTAACTTTTTTCAGCTAACTTCCTTGGTACACTTTTAAAGTTCTTAATTAGTTAATTTAACTCGTGGTAGGTAGTATTATTCATAAACATCTGTTTATTTTTCTCAATAGTTTAGAACAATATCACAAAAAATGTTTTTTGAAAACAAATTGGATTAGAAAATGGCCGTTAATGGTGTTTTTAACCTTAAAGTCCGCTTTCTTTGTATGAGGTTAAGATTTCTTTAAATTCATAACCTCAAAGGTCAAGATTTCTTGCTTAAGGTATTTTTCCTTCGAGGTGCAAGTTAAAAAATGGGCTATATTAGGTCAAAGCTTATTTCTCGAGGTGTTGACTACATTGTCGGTGTGTAGTTTTTAAGATTCCCTCGTATACCATTCTGCTGACTTAAGCTATTGCCATGCTTTTCGACGTAGCGCTCGGCGCGAGGAAAGAGAGAGACTTATTTTTTATGAATTGTTGTTTTGTTCCTTTTTTACCAGGCACTATTACTTGGACTTTTGTTACGACAACACTGTCACCTAATATGTAACATTAGTCAATATACGAAATACTTTGTCATACAGTCTCAGTCTATTTATTTTACGTCTAAAAAAAGGTTAACGCGACCAATAGGTCCACAAACACAACAGTGTTATCGCCGTTAAAACAGAAAACTTTTATTTTCTTTGTGTGGCAGTGACAGTTGACAACGACATTTTATGCTTATTACATCTTCGGGCAATCCGATTAACTTTTGACAGTAATCATGTGCCCTAAAATGAGAATCTTTATTGAGAGTCACGTGACATGTCAAATTTTTATCCTTTTACTGGCTGATGCAATTACCGAACTGGCCTAAACTAGAAAACTAAATTAGCTTTTTTTCCTTATTATTTTTAAAAATTTTGTGTTTTGGGATTGTGATTGTTATTACAGAAGACTTTTTGTTTTTATTGCACATAATGGACACGTTTAAGATTGTGGCGGTAATAAAAAAGAAAAGCATTGAATATTCTTTCGTTCCCCACCAGGGGGAACAAGGTAATGTTCTTTCCTGGTCCCAGGCCAATTTAAACACCTTAAGGACAGATCCATCCAGTAAACCCCAAGATGACTGGAAGACATATCTGTGTAAAGTTAAGAAATCAGGAATTACAGGCCTAGATGAAGCCGAGCTATGGGAGGGGCAGTTTGTAGATGACGGTGTGGGGACAGATGTAGAAGGATGGTAAGTATATTTGGTAATTATTCGTTTCGCCGTTTTTGGAGATTTTCGAAAAATTCTTTTTTAGGGTTATTCTACTTGTCGAATAGAACCTAAATCTACATCCTGGTTTTTTTCTTTTTTTATATGTTTCTTTAATTTTTAATATTTTTTTAATCTTTTATCTTTTATTTGTTGACAAATAATTTTAAGGACCACTTTATGATTCCATTTGTTTGTTTATGGCGATGCCGACCGGCCTGCAAATATATGGAATTGACTAGGGCTCTTAAGAGCACCAGAGACACGGGGAAAGAAATTAATGATAAAGGAAACAAAAAATCAATCCTTTTTTCGGTACCGAAATTAATTCAACTGGTGTCAGTACGACACAAACCGAGCCTCGGTGTATATCGGGCTAAAAAATACCCGTTAAAATTGTATCGTCGCGAGCAGCGAGGACGGTACGCTACACCCGATGTTAGTTGCGTGCCGAGTAATGCTCGGGGATCGACAAAAAAAGGTTTCAGTATAAATCGTAAATCGTCTGTATTGTCGCGAGCAGCGAGGACGGTACACCACACCCGATGTGAGTTGCGTGCCGAGTAATCCTCGAGGATCGACAAAAATACTCGAGACATACCGAGGATATGAATACTCCGATGACCGAGTATTTTTCACTCGAGTGATTCCATCACTATTATTTTGGATGTTTTATTTTTTTTAGATACTGATTGTAAAAATAAGTGGAAGAGTCTCTGCGATAGTTTTCGAAAAAGTATAAAAAATCGTGAGACGGAAGTTCGGGCAAGCTGCAAGCAACAAAAAGGCGTGGCGATTTCAAAAG